AAGTAGCTGGAATTACAGGCACCTGCCACCATGCCCAGCTAATTTTCTGTATTATTAATAGAGATGGGGTTTCGCCACGTTGGCCAGGCTGGTCTTGAACTCCTGACCTCAAGTGATCCACCCACCTCAGCCTCCCAAAGTGCTGAGATTACAGGCATGAGCCACTATGCCCGGCCTCCTTCTCTATTCTTAATTGGCAAATCCCAATCACCTCCTCAGCCCCTCTCTCAGAGGAAGCCTGGATCATGCTGCTACTGGGGCTTATCATGTTGTATTAGAGTTAACCAAAATGTGTCTCTCCCCATTCATTCATTCATTCATTCATTCATTCATTCATCCATTCACTCAAACATTTCTGTACTGGGTATCACACAAGCGGTACTCCCAGGACTCTCCATTTGGTGTTTCCCTCCCCATACTGTGAGCTTCTAGAAGTTGTGGTCACGTTTTAGCTGCTGTGTCCCACACACACCCACAAACTTGTGTTGACCCAGCAAATCAGGACCGAGCAACTTCCCCTCACTGGGACATCAATGGGTGCACAGCAGATTGTAAAGGGCTGTTTTTCCACAGAAGGCTGGGCTACCTCGTGGTGCCAGGCAGTCTGGGGAGATCAGATCAACGTAGGTCTTGTGGTTCAGCACGGGCAGCAGCTGGGAAATCATGAGAGCATTCTGGAAGGCTCCATCCTGCAGACTGGCCAACAATGCAACCTTCGCCTGGAGACATGCTGTTCCCAGCTTTGCGCCGGACGTGGGGGAGGTCATGAGTAACTGGTGATGGAGTAGGGAAGAGAGGGAGGAGGATCAGCCAGTGGGGAGGGGCTAGGTGGTCTAGCCCTTGACCACTCCACCCCTCACTGTTCCCCAGGGTGACCATGGCTCCAGGGTCTCCTTCCCACCTGTAATGCCAATGGGGTACTGTAGACATTCCCAAAGTAGCCCTCGGGGGTCTGGGCCTTCAAGATCTTCTCTTGTACTGTCCTGATGGCCATGGTGATCCGTTGCCTCTGATCAGGGTTGAAGTTTGAGCGCTTCAGACAGGCGAATGCCAAGCCTGCCATGGCTGCTGTGTCTTTGGAGGGGAACAGAACATGTGATAAGCTGGAGAGCCAAGAGGAGCCAGGACAGGCAGGGGCTTGAGGGTCAGGCCCTCGTAGCTATGGGCAGCCACAGGAGGGCTTGGAGAAGAGGGGCAACATGGTCAGATCAGCCAAGGGCACCAGTCCAACCTGGTCCGCCCAAGACATTCTTTGTCTGGACTCTGAAAATCCTATGTCTTAGGAAACTGCTCGTTTCTGGGCAAACTGGTTTGGTTGATCACTCTGCAATTTGAGGGCGAGAAGTTAGGGAGAAGGGCTGGAGGAGGAGGCCAAGAGGACTAGACTCTATACCATTTGTTTCCAAATTTGGCTGCACATTGGAATCACTAAGGGAGATTTATTATTTTTATTTTTGATACAGAGTCTTACTCTACTGCCCAGGCTGGAGGGCAGTGGTGCGATCTCGGCTCACTGCAGCCTCCGCCTCCCAGGTTCAAGTGATTCTCCTGCCTCAGCCTCCTAAGTAGCTGGGACTACAGGCACGCGCCACCATGCCCAGCTAACCTTTATATTTTTAGTAGACATGGGGTTTCACCATGTTGTCCAGGTTTGTCTTGAACCCCTGGCCTCAAGAGATCACCTACCAGCTCCAAAGCTGGCTCACAGCTGGAGCATCACCCGTGAGCCCTCGCCAATTCACCCCTAAAGGACTTGGGAAGAAGGAATTCCAAGGAAAGGTGAGGGTGTCCAGGGTATGGAGGTCATCAGTGCAGGCCTAGGGACTGAGGGAGTGCCAGCCTGGCCTCGGCAGGGTCTAACCTACTCACCCACAGAGAAGTGGCTCTGGTGGAGAGGGTGGTCGTGTTCCACAGCATACAGGAGTTTGCCCACCAGGTTGTCATGGACCCGCTTCCGGTGGACACACAGGGCCAGAATGCCAAGGCCGTACTGGTAGTAGCTAGTGTGGGGGTGGCCCTTGTGATTGTGACCTGGGAAGGAAAAAAACCGAGGGGTTGCCTCTCTGCCCCCACCCAGGAGCCAGCCCCACCAGCACATGGGACCCCTGGTCCACATTTTCCAACACACTCCTCTGGGTCACTGGATCCTTCATTCCTTCATGGCCTCAGCCCATACTTGCTGAGGTCCCACTGTGCTTGGAGGCACTGTGCTTGGAGGAAGCAGTAGACCCATGGCAAACGGAAGCTGTGCAGTTTGGGCCTCGACCACAGCAATTGCTCATGAGACTGCAATTGTAACGGGAATGCGGACCAAGGCCCATGGACCCAGCCACCCAAATACCACCCACATAGCAATGGTATTTGGGTGGCTGGGAAGTCAGGGCAAGATTCTCCAAGGAGGTGAGTGCTGGAGACGGCTGGGTATGGGTAGAGGCAGAACCAAGGGTACAGCAGGAGTGAACTGCATGAGGGGGAGCCAGTCCAGATGGAGGGAACCTGTATGAAGAAACTGGCTCATGAATTGAGAGATGAAGGAGCCAGTGTGGCTGGAGCCCACAGAGGGCAGGTACGTGTGGGAGGCAGAGAATGGGTGGGCACAGCCCGGGGAGGAGGTAAGGGCAGACAGGCTGGGCCCTGGAGCAGTGAGGGGGCCCCTGCAGGGTTTAAGCAGTGCCAGCAAGATCAGGTTTATACTGAAAAAGCTGGCTCTGGCTCTTGTGTGCTGGGTCAAGTCAGGACGGGAGAGCTAGTAGAGACAGACTAAGGCATAAGTCATAAGCAGACTGTCCAGTTGTCCTGAAGGTGGATAATCAAGTCAATCTTGGTGGCTTTCCAATACAAGACTTGCCAATAGGCTAGGCATGGTGGCTCATGCCTGTAATCCCAGCACTTTGGGAAGCTGAGGCAGGTGAATCACCTGAGGTCAGGTGTTCGAGACCAGCCTGACCAACATGGAGAAACCCCATCTCTACTAAAAATATAAAATGAGCCAGGCATGGCAGCACATGCCTGTAGTCCTAGCTACTCAGGAGGCTGAAGCAGGAGAATCTCTTGAACCCAGGGGGCAGAGGTTGTGGTGAGCCGAGATTGCACCATTGTACTCTGGCCTGGGCAACAAGAGTGAAACTCCGTCTCAAAAAAAGAAAGAAAGAAAGAAAAGACTTGTCCGTAGAGTGTGTGCAGAGCAGGAAAGGCTGGAGGATCAAGGATGGCTCTGGGGACAGGTTCGAGCCTCTACGTGGACAGTGAGATAGGCAGAATGGAGGGCGCCGAAGAGGCCTGGGGAGAAAACCCAGAGTTCTGATTCTCGCTAAAGAATGGCATCTCATGAGCCCTCCAGGCTGCTCCCCAACCCCGCCGATGGTGTCCACTCACCAATGGCCCTGTTCTCATCCTCCAGGAAACGCTTGAGCTGTGAGATCAACCTGTCCCCCTTGCGGCCCCTGGCAAACTCACAGTTGGCTCTGAGAGCAAGCAAGTAGAGGGACAGCCGACCCATGGAAGGCTTAGCCTGGCAGTCGCCGTCATTCTCGCTGAAGGCAGACCTAGGACAAGGCCAGTTAATGCCTTTGTGAGAAAGTGCCACCCCGGTAAGCCTGGCTTGGAGCACCCCCCGTACCAGCATCACAAAGTGGAAAAAGTCTTAACAGTGGGAAGCTCTGAGAGAATCAATGGAAGTAGGTGTGTTGGCTATGTTGTGAGGCATATGCCACAAATATCTAATAAAGATGAACGATGAGACTCACGGATAAACTCCGAGGACACCTGCATCCAAATCATCTGTGCCCCCCCCACTATTTTGCCATACTTCACCCACAGTCCCCCTCCTTTCTTTTTATTTTACTTATTTTTATATTGTTTATTTTCTTTGAGACTGAGTTTCACTCTTGTTGCCCAGGCTGGAGTTCAGTGGTGCAATCTCAGCTCACTGCAACCTCCACCTCCTGGGTTCAAGCGATTCTCCTGCCTCAGCCTCCCAAGTAGCTGGGACTGCAGGCACATGCCCCTATTCTCAGCTAATTTTTTTTATTTTTAGTAGAGACAGGGTTTCACCATGTTGGCCAGGCTGGTCTAGAACACCTAATCTCAGGTGATCCACCCGCCCTGGCTTCCCAAAGTGCTGGGATTACAGGTGCGAACCACCGTGCCGGCTTAGGGCCTCCATTCTATAGATGGAGAAAATTTTGCCTAAGGTCTGCCAACAATGCGGTGATAGGCCCAGACTAGAACCTAGGTTTCCTGTCTCTTAGCATGTGGAGCAAGACATGGAAAAAGGAGAGTGTGGCAATACCCTGGGAGGCACTGCTGGTAATCAAGCTTGAGGCTGCGCAGGTAGAGCTTCTCCTTGGTCCCACCCTGCACGCTGGAGAGGCGCAGCCCCACATAGACGCTGGGATTCAGGTGCTCCCGGGAAAGCCGGTCCATCCAAGGCAAGAGGCGCTGGCCCAACTTCTCTACCAGCTGGATGTCCACTTCTGGTATTTCTTAGGAAATAAAATGGTGCAAGTGAGGTCGCGTGGTGTCTCACGCCTATAATCCCAGCACTTTGGGAGGCCAAGGTGGGTGGATCACCTGAGGTCAGGAGTTCAAGACCAGCCTGACCAACATGGAGAAACCCTGTTTCTACTAAAAATATAAAATTAGCTGGGCATGGTGGTACATGCCTGTAATCCCAGCTACTCAGGAGACTAAGGCAGGAGAATCGCTTGAACCTGAGAGGCGGAGGTTGCGGTGAGCAGAGATTGCGTCATTGCACTCCAGCCTGGGCAACAAGAGCCAAACTCCGTCTCAAAAAAAAAAAAAAAAAAATGAAGTGCTTTGATAGTACCAGGGCCTTCCCCAGGGAATACATGTGCTCACTCCCACCTCTACCCAGCACACACCAACTTCCAGGGAGAAATGCACACACTGAAAGGCAGTGGGAGGGGGAAAGCAGGGAAGCAGGTATTCCAAAAGAGCAGTTGGAGCGCGCCAGCGAGAGAGGTGTTGGGCTGAAGGTAGAGGATGCTATTGCCAGGCCACCACTCTGCCCATCAGGGGCGACAGTGAGAGTGGATGCCAAGCTTCGGGGTGTGCCAGGCACCATGCCCAATCTCACTTGGTCCTCATACCAGTCCTGTGACATAGATACTGTCATCATGGCTTTGCACAAAAGAGGAAACAGAAGTTCAAAGTTGTGTCATGTCTTACACGAGGCTGCAGAGCCAAGGATGCAAAGATGGACAGAAGTGCAAAGCCCCTGCTCTCTGGTGCCCGGCTGAATGTGTGTGCCGCCCGTTTACAAAAACATCAGCCCACAGGCAGAACATGTTACACACGGAATTTTTACTTTTATTTATTTATTTATTTTATTATTATTTTTTTTAAAGACAGGGTTTCACCATATTGGTCAGGCTGGTCTCGAACTCCTGACCTCAGGTGATCTGCCTGCCTCAGCCTCCCAAAGTGCTGGGATTACAGGCGTGAGCCACCGTGCCCGGCTCCACCCTGAATTTTTAAACACTGCAGACTGCCAGCTGGTGGGTTGAGGTTGCCTGGTAAACTTCCTCTACGCAGATCTCAAAATAATGCTTTTCCTGCCATCTCCGTTTAAGCGAAGAAGACCTGAGACTATGAGATGAGCTCTTAGAAAACAGTCACAGCTTGCAGCCATTTACCTGTTGCTGTGGGATTTATTTGAAGCTGTGAAACCAAAATACTCCAATACCCTGGAAGTAGAAGCCTTAGGGATAGTTCCAAGGGACCTGAACTCAGCAGATGGCAGCTTAGAGTAGTTTGCCTTGGAGGCACCTTGAACTTTCTGTCCCCGTTTACTGCCTCCCAGTTGCTGGTGGGATCCAGCTGCCTGATGGTGGCCTCCACTGTGCCATATCCCAGGGGACTAAGAAAAGGAGCTGCTACAAGACACCTCCTGAGCCTCCTGGTGCGAGGACCAGAGCTCCTAGAACATAGCTCCATCTCTGTGGGTTTGGGTCCCACCACCTTGTATCGGTTTTCCTGACAGTCCCAGATATCTGCTGCTGTTTCATCCACTAGCATGAAATCCTGCATAATCCTCTGCTGTGTGTGCCCAGGCCAGAGCACATGGCTGGTTTCTCACCAGCTGTGAATGGACAGAGACTAGGGGGTTGCTTTTTTCCCTTTCCCTCACTCAGGGCCATTTTTGGTATCTGTCTCCATGTCTCTGTCTCTCTCCCTCAATCTCTCTAAGGCTCTCTGGGTCTGTCTCAGTCCTCCTCCCTTTTCCTGAAACTTGGGAGTTCCCTGACCTCACCCTGGGCTCTCACCTCCAGCACGATGAGTCAGCACAGGGTTAGAAACTGAAAGTCCAGGACCTGGCTGTAAAGGGAGATCGACAACGACAGAGCAGCCTCCTTAGAAGGAGGGGGCCAGGCAGATTCACCCAGGGTGATAAAAGCAGCCTTGGGTGAGCTCTCCCCCTACCAGCTCAGCCCTGCCAACTAAAGGCTGATTGCTGTTGACATTCACAAGCACAGGGGCTGGGTGGAGTGATTCACACCTATAATCCCAGCACTTTGGGAGGCCAAGGTGGGAGGATCGCTTGATCCTAGAAGTTTAAGACCAACCCCGGGCAATATAGTGAGACCTCGCCTCTATAAGAATATAAAAAGAAGAGGAAGAAGGAGGAAGAGGAGGAGGAGAAGGAAGAAGAGGAAGAAGAAGAGGAGGAGGAGAAGGAGGGGGAGGAGGAGGGGGAGTAGGAGGGGGAGGAGAGAGAAGAAGAAAAAGAAGCACAGGAGCCCACTTTGCATCAGCATTTGTGCAGCAATCCCTGTCAATTTCACAACATACATACAGAGCTTTAAGCTGGGAAAGCAGGTGTCACGGGATCCTCCCTTGTACTACACCAAGGAGGAAGGCAGGGGAGCACTCTTAGCCCATTTTACAGATAAAGGAATGAAGCTGGGTATGATTAAATGACTCAGCACAGATATTTGCACCCCCAACCCCAGTTCGAGCTTCCCCAGACCCCAAGGGACAGGGGCTCCTGTGGGGTCAGGCTAATGGACTAACTGTCCAAGGCTGAGGACCAGGTCAGCCAGGTCTGCGGGAGGGAAAGATCTCTGAACCCAGATCTCCCCTGGGGACTGTCCAAACAAGAACCAAGAGCTGGGGTTCCCGGGCCTAGACCTGAGGAGTCTGACTGCATTTATGGAACACAGATGAGAGGCTTGGAGTTCTGGTTGGGCGTGGTGGCTCACACCTTAATCCCAGCATTTTGGGAGGCTGAGGCAAGAGTATCACTTGAGCCCAGGAGTTTGAGACCAGCCCAGGCAACATGGCAAAACCCTGTCTCTACAAAAAATACAAAAATCAGCCGGGCACGGTGGCGTGCACATGTAGCCCCCAGCTACTCAGGAGGCTGAGGTGGGGAGGATCACTTGAACCCGGGGCCGGGGAGGTTGCAGTGAGCCAAGATTGTGCCACTGCACTCTAGCCTGGGCAACAGAGTGACACCCTGTCTCCAAAAAAAACAAAACAAAACAAAAAAAAAAAGAAAATGAGACTTAATATTCTAAAAACTAAGTTCAGCAAAGCTCTGGTAACGCTGACGCACCCCGAGCGGGTCACTCAGCCCCTCCGACTCCTGACTTCTTCACTTGACACCTGGACACGACTGCACCTGCCTCTCAAAATTTCCCCAGGGTCACAAGAGACCACGGTGGTGAAAGTGTATTGCTGAGCATAATCCTAGGTGCAGAGGAGGGGGAAAGAGACGTGGGCAGCCCCGAGTCCGGAAGCCTTTCTTCTGCCTCCTGTCTGACCCCACCCAGTGCATGAGCTGCCCTGAACCTCCAAGCTCAGACTCACAGACAGGTCCCAGGAGGTAGGTGAACCTTCAAGCTCAGACTCACAGACAGGTCCCAGGTGGCAGGTGCTCCAAGAGACCCCTTGGAGCACAGAGTTGGAGCAGGCAGGGTCTCCAAATGTTCATTTCCTGCTGCCTAGAATGCGTGCCCCCCCACTCCTTTCCTGCCAGCTCCTTTTCTTCCTTCGAGTCTCAGCTCCCATATGCACTCCTGGTCCTCAGAAAGCCTTCCCCGTGCCCAGCTATTTTTTAAATTTTTGTAGAGATGCGGAGTCTCCCTATGTTGCCCAGGCTGATCTCGAACTGTTGAGCTCAAGCGATCCTCCTGCCTCAGCCTTCCAAAACACTGGGATTTCAGGCGGGAGCACCTAGCCATTGATTTCTTTTGCCTGCCTCCTTTCCCTAGAACACAAGCTCTAGAATGGCAGGGATTAGACCTGTCTCACGCTTTGCACATTCCGCAAAGGCTAACACTGGGCCCGACTCAGAAAAGGCTCAGTAACTATGTGCTGAATGAATGTGTGAACGAATGACTGAATTAACGGAGGAGCTCCTGAGCTCCTGTCTGGTGAGGAGTCATAGACTCAATCGTAATACGATGTGTTAAATGCTCAGGTCCAGCTAAGCCCAAACTGCTATGGGAGCCTAGAGGGGAAGATAAGTTCCCCCATCCTATGCCCGAGCCACCCTCCTGAGGACCCAGGAGGAAAGAGCACAGGAGAGAGGCGAGTTACTCACCACAGATGTCAGTGAGGGCCCCCAGGACCCCCAGAAGGAAGAGGAAGGCCCCAAGGTGCCTCATGGCAGCTGCAGGTGGGTGAGTCTCTCCTGACCACAGCCGGTCACTCTCCTAGAGAGGTAGGTTCCTGTCACTGATTAATCCTCCACTCTCACAATGCGCTGCTCAGTCAGCAGAGAGAAAGGGGAAAAGGTCTGTTGTGGCAACGAAGAGAAGGCCAAAGAACAGAGGAAGGAAGGGCAGAGCAGCCTTCCTGGAGGCAGGCGACAAAGGGAGGAGGAGGACCCGTGGGACCATGTGAGACATACTGAGGCCATCCACGTTCCTGCTTAAAGAGCCCCGGACCAGCGCAGAGGGGCTGACGTCTGGAGACTGACGTCTACCCAAGCCTGTCCGACCTTGCCTGGCTGCTCTCCCCTTCGCTGTTCCAGTGGTGGAACGACAGGACCGGGTGCCCACCTGATACTCCTTACAGAAGGAGCCCCTGGTAAGTGCCCGCCTAGCCCGGGACTAGGAGTAGAACGGGGAGGTGCAGCTGTGGCGGTCACGTGAGCAGCATTGCTGGCGTCAGCTGTTCTTCAGCACCGCCTCCTGCCCCGGTTGGGGAGCCCCTGGTCCCCAACCAGCGGGCCGCTTTTCTCAACCAATCCGAGAGAGCTAGGAGCCTCCTGGAGAGGACAAAACAAATTAAACAATGGGATTAAGGGCGGGCGCGGTGGTTCACGACTACAATCCTAGCACTTTGGGAGGCTGAGGCAGGCAGATCACTTGGGCCCAGGAGTTCAGATCAGTCTGGAAAACCCCGTCTCTCCCAAAAAATAAAATAAAAAATAAAAAATTAGCTGGGCGTGGTGGCGTGTGCCAGTAGCCCCAGCTACTTGGGGGGCTGAGGCAGAAGGATTGCTTGAACCCCGTGGTGGAGGCTGCAGTGAGCCGAGATCACACCACTGCACTCCAGCTTGAGTGACAAAGTGAGACCCTATCTCAAAAAAATAAAATAATGGGACTGAATCAATTGAGACACAAAGCTACGGAAAGCAGGGCTACTTGCCAGAACTAAGAAAGCAACCTCAAAAAAAAATCTCTGCAAACAGGAAAGAGAACAAAAGATTCCTCACCTGCCAAGCCCCACAGGAAAATCAATGTATATGAGTTAACTAGTGGCAGCTGTGTGACCTTAGCCAGGTCACTTAACCTCTCTGAGATTAAATAGTTCTTCCCGTCTGAGATGCAAGGGTTAGGCAAGATCATTCTAACAGCTCCCGTTCAGCATAATTTGTGAAGACATTATGACTTTAAAACACTCTAATCATTTCCATGTGCAATCTGCATTGCATATTTTATGGCAAATTGCCAAGGTTCGCTCCTTTAAGATATCTGTTTTGAGCCTGACATCACCAGCCAAGCTCTTGACATATATACATCCAGCAACGTGCGTCTGTTTACGGAAGTACTCGAAAATTTTAAATGATAGGTTGTCCGGTCAGAAAGGCAGAATGTGGCCACTAGGAGGAGCACCTTTGGAGGTTCTGAGGAAGGAGGGAGGCTAGTGGGGAGCCCAGCTTCTGCAGAACTGCACATTTGGACCTTCGGGGAGCCACAGTGAATTGTATGCAATGGAGCCCCCTTGGTCCTGGGTGAGACTGCCTTGGCTCCCCCAACCCTCTGCCTGTTTCCAGTAACACCGATTATGATTCCTGCTATTTCCAGGAGGGCAGCCTGGAGGAGGTGGCCATGGAGAATAGCCTTCATATCATCGGCCTCTGGTGAGAAGCCCAGCGTCCTTCCAGAGAGTCACTTCTGATCCCCAAGGTTGTGAGGGTGTTGAAGTAAAGGAGAGAGACGCCCCCCTGCCAACCTGCGTGGACTCAGTGCCAGAGGATTGGGGAGTAAGGAGAGGAGGACATCATATTTCCCATACACATTAGAAATGTAATCCCAGCACTTTGGGAAGCCACGGCAGGAGGACTGCATGAGCCTACGAGTTTGAGACCAGTCTAGGCAAGATGGTGAGACTCTGACTCTACAAACAAAAACAAAAACAAAAAAAAACTCCAGGGATGGTGGTGTGTGGTGTAGTCTCAGCTACTCCAGAGGGTACAGGTGGGAGGATCACCTGAGCCCAGGAGTTTGAGGTTGTAGTGAGCTGAGATCAGACGACTGCACTCCAGTCTGGGTGACAGAAGGAGATCTGGTCCTAAAAATAAAGTAAAATAAAATAAGGAAATAGAGTGACTGGTCAGGGGTAGAACTATTTTAGGTCATGTGGTCGGGGAATGTGAAAAACTAAAATGATTAACTCATTTAGATCAGGATTTCTATTTTTTTTATTTTTGAACTCCTGGGCTCAAGCGATCCCCCTGTCTCAGCCTCCCAAAGAGCTGGGATTACAATGAGCCACTGCACCCGATGAGATCAAGATTTCTATTTGTGGTGAAAACTAGCTTGGAATGAGAAAGTCAAGTCTGCCTGTGTTCCCTCTAGACAGGGACAACAGGGACCTCTAAAGCCAGCTGCAGCTTCAACAGGAAACATTTTTTTTTTTGAGTCTGCTCTGTCGCCCAGGCTGGAGTGCAGTGGTGTGACCTCGACTCACTGCAACCTCTGCCACCCAGGTTCAAGTGATCCTCCCGCTTCAACCTCCCGAGTAGCTGGGATCACAGGCAGGCACCACCACTCCTGGCTAATTTTTGTATTTTTAGTAGAGATGGGGTTTTGCCATGTTGGCCAGGCTGGTCTCAAACTCCTGACCTCAGGTGATCCTTCTGCCTCAGCCTCCCAAAGTGCTGGGATTACAGGCATGAGCCACGGCGCCCAGCCAACAGGAAACATTTCTATCAAGGCTGTACATGCTACAGCTGTAAAGTGTCCTAATACCCACGTTCTTTGAGTGACTACTACTTTTTTACTGATATTTCTATTTTCCCCCTAAAATCACAAACGATCAGAAATTTGCTGTTTGAGATTATATTGGTAGGAACAGAACATCCCACTGTTGCCTGGAAGAGCTATGCCATTTTGACACAGAGAAGCAGCATTCCACATTTCTCTTAACTTTATAGTTTCCGGGGAAACAAGACTCTAGGTCCACTTTGCTGTCTAGACCTGAAGCTGACCCTTCATACACAGCCCTGTGGTACTTTGAGCCTGCTTGCCTCAAAATACTGCTACTCCACCCTTCCCGTTAGAGAGGGGGTTTCACTGTGTTGCTCAGGCAGTCCGTCTGCCTCGGCCTCCCAAAGTGCTGGGATTACAGGTGTGAGCCACCGTGCCCGGCCCTCTCAAATTCTTTAATAACCTTTCCCTTTGTTCAATCAGACCACTGCAGTTCCTCTGCTGGGTAGTTTCCCTTATTGGAATAGGTGAACAAGTGGGTTTGTTTCTGGTGGTTTTAGGTTGATTTGGCTAGGACATAGCCTAAGAATTAACCCAAAAGAGAAAGGTAGTGATTAAAAATGTATATATATCCAAATCATATTTTAAAGCCAGGCGCGGTGGCTCATGCCTGTAATCCCAGCACTTTGGAAGGCAGATCACTTGAAGTCAGGAGTTTGAGACCAGCCTGGCCAACATGGCGAAACCCCGTCTCTACTAAAAATACAAAAATTAGCCAGGCACAGTTGTGCACGTCTGTAATCCCAGCTACACAGGGAGCTGACGCAGGAAAATTGTTGGAATCCGGGAGGCAAAGGCTGCAGTCAGCTGAGATCGTGCCACTGCACTCCAGCCTGGGCAACAGAGTGAGACTCCATCTCAAAAAAAAAAAAAAATTAGACCAAATAATCGTAGGCAAAAAGCATTAAGAGAGATAAAGAGGTGTGTTCAATTGTATTTTCAAAGATATCTGCAACAATAACAGTTATTCCTCATGGTCTTCCATAATTTTGTCACTCATCCATAAAGAAATGAGTCTAATTCCCCTCCCTTTGAATCTAGGCAGGTTTGTGACATGCTTGTCAGTAGCAGAATGCAGAAGTGATGATACATAACTCCAGGTCAGAAATGAAAATGCAACTTCCACCTTGCTCACTTGAACACTTGAGCTGGAGTTCCGAGCTGTCATGTAAGCAATCCAACTGCCTTGAGGCAGCTACACTGTGAGGAAGACCAAACTGGTCCACAAAGGTAATCCACACGTATAAACCTTGAGATTACCTAGAGACAGAGAGAGAGAGAGAGAGAGAGAGAGAGAGAGAGAGAGAGAGAGAAATCCAGCCAGTTCCCAGCTTTTCCACGCCCTTACTATTCCAGCTGTTGTCGCATAAAAGACATCAAGACAGAACCACTTAACTGGGCATGGTGGTGCACGCCTGTAGTCCCAGCTACTCAGGAGGCTGAAGCAGGAGAATCACTTGAACTCAGGAGGTGGAGGTTGTGGCAAGCCGAGATTGTGCCGCTGCACTCCAGCCTGGGCAACAGAGTGAGACTCAATCTCAAAAAAAAAAAAAAAGATTGGAAACACTGTACTTTCCTGAACTCTGCCCGATGTGCCTATTCCCTTGGCTGATTTTAATTTGTATCCTTTCCCTGTAATAACTGTAATAGTGAGTATAAAAGTTTTCAATGACTTCTGTCAATCCTTCTAGTGAGTTACCAAACCTGAGGGCAGTCTTTGGAACCCCTAAACTTGCAACCAGAGTCAGAAGTGAGGGCAGTATTGTGGATGGTTCCCTGTCTTAGCAGTTGGTGAACTGTGCGTGACACAATCCCTAACAAAAAGACGATGGATAGATGATGATAAATTATGCACATCAATGAGAATGAATGGACATTCACACAACAACGTGGATGAATTTCATGAACATAATGTTGAGTGAAAGAAGCCAGACACAAAAGAAAATATACTGTGTGGTGGAAATAAAACTTCCTCACAAGTGCTCCTGGAAAAAGCCTGAGCCTCCTGAGATGTGGAAATGCATGCCGTAAAAAGATGGGGATGTTTGCTCTCACTTCCCCTAGAAGCAGTTTAGTTTTTACACATCACGAGACTTTAATCTGTAGCCATTTGTGTAGTTCATTGGTCTTATCGGAAAGGATAATAAAACTTATCTTCTAAAGGAAACCAAATGCTTACAGCCTAGACTAAACCCCTGGGTTAAGCTCTCAAGGTTCCGGGAAGACTAAGCAGCTGTCTCCCTAGGTGTTTACCTGTCAGAAGAGATGAAGTCCAGAGTTTGGAAACATTTCTAGGTCATAAAAGTCAAAGACCCTGGGGCTTATCCAGCTTTTGGAGTGATGTATTTACATTCCAATAGGTTAGAGTGATAAACAGGATGTTTTCCATTCTCTCGAAGAAGCAGAGGTTTTCTCTCCCCTTTTGAGAAAGGACAAGACTGCAGCAACTTCTCTTCTGTATATACAAATGGAGGAACTGTGGTCTGGGGCAGGGTGGTTCACGTCTGTAATCCTGGCACTTTGGGAGGCTGAGGTGAGAGGATCACTTGAGCCCAGGAGTTCAAGACCAGCCTGGGCAACATGGCAAAACCCTGTCTCTACAAAAAATACAAAATTAGCCAGGTGTGGTGGTACACTC